TATCACATAATTCACAATAAAACATTCAAAAAAAGAAAGCTACCTAAAACTAAAAAAAAAAAAAAAAGGCCTTTACATATGATTATTTCCTGTTTATTTTTTGCTTCAGTCTACCCGTCCAAGTATGTGGCACTGTAAGATCAGCACTGGACTGCAAAACACCTGATTAGCTGTTCAAATTTACTTGCTGCTCCTTGAAAACTCTATATAGGGTTGCTATGAGTTAGAACAGACTTGACTGAACTTAACAACAAAGATTTTCTCAACCTAACTTTCTGACCAGAATAATGAGTATCTCTACTGTAAACTCTCCTAGTAATTTTTCCTAGCCGTTTTATTTCTTTTAGCAATTCTCTTTATTTCTCTAAATATGTGGCTTACTTATTTGTAGAATAAATGGATTGCTATTGTTATGTGCTGTCAAGTCGGTTCCTACTTTTAGCGACCCTGTATAGGGTTTCCGAGGAGAGTCTGGTGGGTTTGAACTGCCAGTTTTGTGGTTCACAGTCCAGTGCTTATTCTACAGCATCATACCAGGAGTCAGACCTTTGAAATTCCATTGTCTAAACCTTCCTTACCTTCTCTGGTGTTCTTTAGATTTTATTTCCTTAGAACCTATCTCAGAACATGATAGAATCTCTCATCCACTTGCGTAATAAAATGGCTGCTTGCCACGCTTTAGCTCTCCTTCCAGGAACCTCTCTTCCTACCTACTGGAACTTCCTCTCTACTGGCAAGGCATCCCTAGTCAACCTATCACCTACTTCCACTATTCTCAACCCTGCCCTCTTTAACCAGTATAAAAATCCCTCTCCAGCAACACAGGCTTTCTCTCCTTCTGCCCCTCAATAAAGCCTTACATGTGGGTGTTTGTGTTCCGGCTCATTCCATCTCACAGAACAATTCTAGGATTGTTGTTGTTAAAGTGCCATTGAGTTGATTCCAACTCTTAGCGACCCTGAGTAGGGTTTCTGAGGAGTGGCAGGTAGATTAGGAGGGGATATCTAAGTATTTGGACTCCTTTAAAGCATTACCTTCTATGACCTCTTCCCTCCTCCTATTCCCAGGAAGCTGCTATCATTTTCTGATACATGGAACACTTTTTCTAGCACAGCACTTATTTACCCTCTACTGTATATATTCAGTATGGCGTGATGCTATGGGTTAATGCGCTGGACTGCAAAGTCAGTTTGAACTGCAAAGTCGGTGGTCCAAGCTCACCAGCTGCTCCTTGGAAACCCTATACAGGGTTGCTATGGGTCAGAACTGACTCAACGGCATTTAACAAGAATATGTATATATATGTATGTAGTCCTGGTGTGGCACACAGTGTGAGAAATGTCTATACTGACAAAAGCTCAACTAATCCAATCTGTACTCATTTTAGTGAGAGTGAGGTTTTCTTCATTAGATTTTGCAAAATCAGGCGCCCAGCCCCATAGACATGGGCAGATGCGTGACATGGCTCTCCACAAATGGTTTTTATTCGTGTCCCCCCAAAAGCCCCTCTTCCAGTTCCAGTTCTCCATATACAGTTCTCCCCCCAGAGAAGCCAAAATTACTTGCCCAAGGTCTTAATGGCTGTATTTTTATTTAAATTTCCTAGTCCCAGAATAGCCTGCTTAAATCAACAATCTGTCTGCCAGGTCTTGCAATCTCATGATTTCCTGAATTTGGACCACAAGAGTTATTTCTCACAATAGGATAAGCACTTGACCTGTTGATTTGAACCAGAAGGTTGGTGGTTCAAACTCACCAGTTGCTTCTTGGAAACCTTATACAAGGCCTCTGTGAGTCAGAACCTACTCGACGGCACTTTATAATATATCTTAACAATATTTTTATGTTGTTGTTGTTAAGTGCTGTTAAGTCAGCTGCTGTAGGCTATGTTATTTTTCTTTGTATTCTGGGTCCTTAACAGAGGGTCTGGTACTCAATATTTGGAATGATTCTATAACCTGTAGTCAAGCCACATAATGCATTTGTTGATTTTTCTGTTTATAATACCTTCGTTCATATTTGCATGATAAACACCTCTTATGTAAATGAGGCAGTGGTATAGTGTTACCTTCAACAATGTACATAATTTTTTGCTTTTCAGCTTCCTCTTTTGAAAAATGATACTTTTTATGGTTGTTGGGAGGATTAAAGAGTTAATGATTTAGTATTTCCCTCTCCCTTGCTAGGCCAAACTTTGTCATTTTTTAGGTGTAAATCAATTCCCTAGGGAAGTAAACTTTAGGATTAGGTTGTTGTGGAATCTCAGGTACATAGCTAGCAGTTCCTTGCCATCTCAAATCAGGTTTTTCCTTCTTTGCAATCGACCTGGATATCTTAATTAAAACTGGAAGCCAAATCATTAACAAGCAGAAAACCTTTCTTCCTGGCTGGTTCAGGAGAGGAGATCTTCCAGAGGTGAGAATTGTTTGCATAGCTTTGAAACAGCAAAGGATGCAAACAAAAATGGCTAAATTTCCATATCAAAGCATGTGAGAGGTTTCCGTTTCCTTCTACAGTTGTAAATACACTGAATAAATTTAGTTCCCTTCTCTTTATCTTTTCTGGTTTACTCAACTGCAGCTAAAGACTTTAGCATGTTGAATCATCTGGTAACTTCCAGTATGAGAAATGTTTCTTGCCAACTAGATAGTAAGCTCAGCATTTTTATTTTGCTTGTTTGTATTGTCAAAGTTTGTGTTAAGTGCTGAGTCGGTTCTGGCCCAAAGCGACTCTACACAGGGTTTCTGAGGCTGTAAACTTTGAGGGAGCAGACAGCCTCATTTTCCTCCCACAGAGCGACTGGTGGGCTCGAACCTTCGACCTTGTGATGTGCTTATGTCCAGTGCTTGTCCCTACAGAGCCACTGCATTCTCATTATACTCGTTGTTGTTGTTAAGTGCCTTAGAGTGGGTTCTAACTCGTAGCGACCCTGTATAAGTTTCTGAGACTTTAAATGTTCACAGGAGCAGAAAGTCTCATTTTTCTCCTGGAGGAGTGACTGGCGGGCTTGAACTGCGGACGTTGTGGTTCGCAGTCCAGTGTTTATCCTGTGAAGCCACCGCGTTCTCATTATACTCTTGGAAAGTATAATACCAAAAATAAGAAATCATGGGAACTTTATTTAAAAATATGTAACTCAATGAAGTAGAAAACATGTAAGATGTTTACACACAGCGGTAAAATGTTAAGTCACAGGTCAACTTAATAAAAGTACTGAAGTTTCCTACCCTTTTCCCTTACATTGTGCATAGCTTTTCTATTTTTCTTTTTTACATTCAAATATAATTAGTTATTTAGACTTGGCTTTCCCAGTTGACTAAGAAAACAGTCTTTTGGCAACGTGTCAAATCTCAGTCAAATACTTATAGCCTCGGTGGTTTATCTTGGGCCCACGTAGAGTTGAAAGAACCATTTGAAAGAGTACTCTTGAAGAGACTTCAAAGATGGAAAACTTAGGTTTTGTTGCTATCAACAGGTTTGAAATCAACATCACATACAAGTGAGGTAAGCGTCCAGTCATCAAATGACCCTTTTTGACGTTTCATGAATGATAAAAACCTCCAACGGGACTAGGCTGAGTTTTTTCCACTGGCTCATTAGGAACTGGTCTCTTGTCATCTGTGAAGTATTAAGTTAGTTATTCTGCTTCCCGCTGGTAGACAGTTGATCCAGGACTCTTTAGGACTGAAGCCTTTCTAGTCGTCCCCATTTCTACCCTCAACAGCCTATCGCTTATTCTTACCACATCAGGTCCGATTTCAGTGTTTTGTTTTTCCAATGAGAATTTAAAAGGCATTACAGGCTTTAAAAGACACAAAGGAGACAATGAAAGAATAAGAATTTTGGGACAATAAGAGTCATACTAAAGACTTCTGAGACGCGACGACAAGCAGCCAGTAGACACCCTCAGAGCCAACCGTTCTGCTAGCCCGCCCCAACAGCCCGCCCCGGTCCCAGTCACGTGACGGGGGTGCGGCGCGAGCCGGCTGCGACTCCGATTGGTGAGCGGCGGGAGCGTGAGGTTTGATGGGAAGGAGTTGGCCGGGCCCTGCTCTCTGTCAGTGGCTGCTGCCTGCTCCGGAGGCTCCCCGTGCGGTAGCGACCCAAGCTAGCAAGGTGGACGATAGCGCCGGGCGTTGCCCGCTTCTCGCAGGTAAAGCGATCAGATGAGGGCAGTTGGGAGGGCTTGGCGGAGGGGAGGGATGCTGAGCTTTCCCCCTGGGAAATATGCTCCCGGTTCTTCCGCTTGTCTCCCCCGGGTACCTGCTCCCTACACCGAGTGGCCTAAGAGCTCTGCTGAGGCGGCTAGTCAGACTCCCGCGGGAGCCCGTGCTGACCCAACCACGCCGCTGGTCCTTTTGATTTCCCAGCACAATGGCAGGGCGACTATGGAGCTCGGAAGACCTCCTTTAATCCCTGTTCTCGGAGATTACTGGGAGTGACTAGGTTGGTTCTCTTGCCCACGGATGATGAGGCGAAAGGTCGGGAGGTTCCAAACTGGCAGATCCTGTGCCAGACAATTGCATTCAGTGTGATATTCACCTCTCCCTTTCTCTGTGTTGAGCGGAGGCGCCACGAATTGGAAAGATCAAGAGGCGCTGAAAACTGTCAGTGTCATGCTGCTCTGGTGTGTGGGCGTGGATTATGTGCTATTTAGGAAGTCTTTCTGCAACTGTTGTCCTTATTTGAGGGATAGTGTGAGGGGTGGAGGGAAGGGCGAGGGCGTTAGGCGTGGCACAAGAAGAGCAAAACTAAACTACATCTATAGTTCTAATTATTCAATATGGTTTAAGAGGGTAGGGGGAGCTGGGACTGGTGAACTGTTTTGCTGATAGGACCTGTGACTCTGCTGTTTGACTGCTGTGGTTACTTACGAGTGTCAGTTTCTCTTTTTCCTGGGGCCTGGGTGTTACCATTGACAACACTGACCCTATTCAACAGCACTATCAGGCTTACGTTCAAACTGGCGGGGAGTTACTAATCTTTTTCTCAGCAGGCCCATAGTTCCTTCTTAAGAAGGCCAAGATGATTTCAAATAACGTTTTCCTAAACAAGAGCAGTGGATTTAAAGTTAGAACTTTAAGGTTTCCTTATCTATTGAGGTTACCCGTTTACTGCGCTTAATAAACTTATATTTGTTGTTGTTGTTAAGTGCCATCGAATTGTTTCTGATCCATAGTGACCCTGTATAGGGTTTCCGAGGAGACACTGGTGAGCTTGAACCGCCAACCTAATAAACTTATATAGTGATGATTTATTATTAACTTGGAAGGGAGTATGAGAAAAGGAAGAAGTTATATGACTTTTAAGTAGGTTTGATTTCAAGTAGAAATCTTAATTAAATTGTCATTTTTTGATAGTGTTCAGAGTGAAAATGAACGTGAAAGCAAAATCTTCACCATCATAAGATAACAATGTAAAAAGTACTTCTTTCCAATTGTTTTTGGACAATAAATGCGGTAGTTTGTATAGTTCAGAATTGTACCTTTTCAATAAATTTCAATGAGGACATTTGAAAGTTCTACATCAAATCATCTTTAATATTAAATTGAATCGAGTATGCTATGAAGGAACTGTTGATGGTGATTGAATATTTTCTACTTTAGCCTGGAAATTGAAATAATTAAACCTAGAGCTAAACTTTCCTTGCTGTTTTCTCCAAAGACTTACAAGTTTTATTTTAATGGAAGACTCTTTCAGAGTATTTTGCTTCATGCTTTTTATATTAGAGAATATGTAGTGCAGTTTTAGTTAAAATACAAGCTGTAATTTTGCTTTTCAGTTTAAAATTATGAAACTAGAACATTTTTATAAGACGTTAGAAAGAAATGTGTTTCACATAAGAAGTCATTGTCGATATTGCTTGTGTCTTTTGATGACAGGTAACAATGATAGCTATCATTTGTCAAATACTTATTATGTGTTGGACACATAATTTCATTTAATCTATACATCAATTCTGTGGTGTCCAGATATTTTAAAAATCGTTTTTCAAATGAGGAAACTGAGATTTAGACAATATAAGTAGTTTTCCCCAGATTACATAATTAATATATTTGGTTGAACCACATTTTTAATCCAAAACCAGAGAGCTTCTTGTACCATGATTTTAATGCGAATTGAATATGAACTGAATATTGAAAGTAACAGCTCCTATGATTTAAAATTCCAAGACTTAAACCTAAGCATGAATAGCAGTGAATAGAAACCATTCAGATAACATTGTGGGCATTTTTAGATGTATCCATCTCTTAAAGTCAAGTCAGATTCCACTGTGATGTCAGAGTGGATAGAGTCTCTCTAAGTGCCTGTTCATGCAGGAGTTCTTGAGGACAACTCACTTGAGTTGAGTCATTGCTTCCCTCAAGGGCAAGGTAATTTATTTATGCTTCACAAAGTAATGCTAGAGTTATTTGGTTCTTGTGTATTTCCCATGTGTTTCAAAGGCAGCAGAAATAGGTTAAAGAAGTCAGTTCCCACAGCAGTAATAACAACTTTTCTGTACTGACAAATGATTATCTATCAGGCACTGTTATAAATATGAAGGAGCTCAAAAAGTTCATTGAAAAATGTAATAAAAAGATAATGGGTATTTTTCTATAAACTTTTTGAAGCCCCCTGGTACTTTAGCATGCATTATGTCATTTAAGCCTTTCAACATTTAAGAGGGTCCTTTAACTATCGCTCTTTTGCAGATGATGAATTGAATAGCAGAGAGGCTAAGTAACTTATTAGCCCCAGATTTCACTGTAAGTGATGATAGGCCAAAGGACTTAGAGTTGCTTGGAAAGGAGGGAATCAGAAGTTGAAAACAGAAGTATACAGTTAAAGCTATAGAGAATGTTGGATTTAATCGTTTAATTTTGTTATGCTTCCATATCTCTTAGAAAGTACCGCTCACTGCATATTTACAGTATGTAACACATACCAGGATTTTATACAAAGTTTACTGGAACTATGAGGGTGGTTGTTTCTTTGATTATGAACCTTGAAAACATGGATTTGGTATTTCTACCCTAATGTTTTAGGGGACAAATTTAAAAGTATAACCCCCTGCTTAAGAGATCCTAGAAACTAAGCCATAGTTTGTTTCATTAACACCAAAACCATTTTCTAAACAAATAATTTACATCAAAATTTTTATTAATTGTGATATTATACGCAATTGTATATTGCACTTATTTTAAAGTTGATATGCACTAAACAAAGAGTCCTGTTGTAGCGTAATAGGATAAGCACTCAACCTCACAATTGGATTTGAACCACAAGGTTGGTGGTTCAAATTCATCAGCCGCTCCTTGGAAACTCTATACAAGTTACTATTGAGTCGGAATTGACTTGATGGCACTTAACAGTAACAACAATGCAGTAAACAACCAAAGGCAATGCTTATAGTAGAGAAAGCATTGGGCTAGGTGTCAGACTTCTAGTAGTAGTTCTACCCCTCGCTGGATCTACATGATTTTGGCAAATAGCTTATTCAATATAGATTTAATAATTCATATTTAATCAAATGAGAAATTGGGTTCTGTGGTACACTGTATGCTAACACTGTCTCTTGTGTTTATAACTTCCTTTTCACCAAAGTATCTGTTTACCAACTATTTGAAAATGTCATAGGTTATATATATGTATTCTAATCCTGGTGTGGTGCTGTAGGATAAGCACTGGACTATTAACTGCATGATCAGTGGTTCAGACCTATCAGCAGCTCCTTGGAAGCTCTATACAGGGTTGCTATGAGTCGGTATTGACTTGATAGCACTTGGTAACAACAATAATAATCCAATCTATACAAAGCAGACATTATTTCAAGTTGGTATGTTATTGGAAATAATTAGTTGCTAGAAAAAAAAAAATCAAAACTGAAATGCTAAGTCTGGTTTTGTTACTTAATATCTTTGGGACCTAAGCAAACATTTCACTTTTACAGCCTGAGTTTCCTCACTTGAATATGGTGGAATAACAATATCTAGTGGTAAATTCCATCTGAAACATTTATATTAGAACTTGCTTAGCAAGTGTTTACTGATTTTTTTTTTTCTGTTATTAATTTGAAATATAAAAAAGTTTTGTTCATAGTCTCGGGGTATGATGGCTACAAAGTTGACTTGAAGGAATATAATTCTGGTGTGGGTTAATTGTGTACAAAACACTGTGCGAGACTTCATACATACTCTAGTGCCAGAAAAAGGTGATGATGGATATTTTGAGTTACCCAGTTAAGTGGTTCATTTAAGTCCCTTCTCTTTCTATTCTTGGTATTTGCTTTTAACACCATTGGAATGTTTTTAATGTCTTGACTCAGATAGAAATTTGTATTTCTGTGCAGTAAAGTTCCTGGGGTTTGTATTGTAGAAATTTTAATATTGACTTACTATTGAAAAGTTATTTAGGTTATAATATAAATGTGGTTTGTAACATTTAATACATTTATAAGCTTCAGAAATTTTGAGGCTAGATTATAAATATTTCTGTCCTTAAGAATCACTTTGGTAAATGAAAGTATTTTGTATTTAGTCTCCTTGTTGCTTTTCTAAGAAAGTCTGAGATAGGTGTGACTTATGATAATTCCAGTGTATAAATAGTACTGTGGAACGAATGTACTTACTTCTTGTTGTTAAGTGCCTTCGAATCAACTCATAGCAACCCTGTATAGGGTTTTCAAAGAGTGGCTGGTGAGTTTGAACTGCTGACTTTGTGATCCAGTGCTTTATCCCACAGTGTTACCTCACTAGGACTCTGTACTTACTTGGTACTGGTATTTTGTGGTTACATTTATAGTTTTAAAAATGTAAGAAGTATGGCTTCAATAAAATTTTTGGGTGGAAATGAATTAGTTTTACACATTGACAAGTAAGTAACTGTTGTCGTTAAGTGCTGTTGAGTCAGTTCCAATCTTGTATAGGGTTTCCAAGGAGTGACTTGTGGGTTTGAACTGCTGACTTTGCAGTTCAAACTGATCCTGTGGTGCTTACGTAGTGCTTATCCTACAGCACTACATAAAAATGTCAGTTAAAAGTATACTTATACCATTTAAACTTAAAAGTTTAAAAAAATTATGTAATTATTGTGTGATGATTCTGTTAAGGAACACGGTGATTAAAACACTCAGCTACAGAAATGTCCACTAGTTGCTTAGCATAAGAAAGATGAAGCAGTCACATCTATAAATAAGTTTTTTTTTGTTGTTGTTGTTAAATGCCATCGAGTTGGTTCTGACTCATAGTGACCCTGTATACAGTTTCCAAGGAGTGGCTGGTAAGTTTGAACTGCTGACCTTTTGGTTCAAACTGACCTTACAGTCTAGGGCTTATCCTATAGTGCAACATCCATTCTTGTAAACCCTATAGGACAGTCCTGTAGGGTCTTTATGAGTTGGAACCAGTTCGACAGCAATGGATTTTGTTTTGTTTTTGGTAATTGATGTAAAGTATAATATTGCTGAGTCTATTAGAAAATATTTGAGAAAAAATAGCTAAAAGAGGATTATACAACTAGCTTGATGGAGTTAGAAGTGATTGTTGATCATGTAGTCATAGAATAGCAGTTATTTAGTGTTAGAATAGATATAAGGATTTAAGTCCTTTATTTCTTCTGAGCTGTTGTGCAAATAATAGCATTATTTTTTATCTGTAAAATGATAATAAAGGCAGTAATAAGGGTAGTTGTGGTCAGTTGTAGAATTTTCACCTCCCATGAGGGAGACCTGAGATCCATTTCCAGTTAGTGTACCTTAAGCAGAGCCACCACACTCAGTGGAGGCTGGCTTGCCATGTAATGCTGAACATGTTTCAGTAGCGCTTCCAGGTTATGATATTAAGACAGAAGAAAGGCCTAGTGGTCTATAGTCAAAAACCAGACAATGAAAACCAAGTGACCATGGCTTGATCCCATTGTACATGGTGCTGTCATGAGTTGAGAGTCAGCTTAACAAAAGTTATCACTTCCCTCTGAGAAAGTAGTAGTACCATTAACTCTCATTTGTAGAAAATGTAATTAAAGCTCAAATGACTTTTGCTCAGGTGATTTGCTTAAGGTCACAGGTAGCTTTTTAATCCTTATTTTATTATTCAAAATTATTTCAGCTTTCTGTGATTGCTTTTGCTGTTGTTAGGTGCTGTTGAGTTGGTTCCATCTAATGCACAGTATAAGAACACGGCCCTGTCCTGTGCCATTCTCACAGTTGTTGTTTCTGAGTCGATTGTTGCTGCCACTATGACAGATAGTCTTGTTGAAGGTCTTTCTATTTTTCGCTGGCCCTCCACATTACCAAGCATGATGCCCCTTTCTAGGGACTGGAAAACATGTCCAAAGTACTCTCCCATTCTCATTTCTAAGGTGTACTTTGGCTGTATTTCTTCCCACAGATTTGTTCTCTGGCAGTCTATGGTACTGTCAGTATTCTTCATCAGCACCATAATTCAAAAGCATAGTTCTTCTCAGCTTTTCCTTATTCATTCAACTTTTGAATGCATACGAGGCAATTGAAAATACCTTGGCTTGGGTCAGGTGCACCTTAGTCCTCAGAATAAAATCTTTGTTCTTTAACATGTTAAAGAGGTCTTTTGCAGCAAATTTGCCTAATGTATTATGCCATTTGATTTCATGATTACTTGTAAGGTGCTGCTATTCTGAATATCTTGGTGGCTGGCTGGTGGCTGTGTGCTGTGGAGTTGGTTCTGACTCACAGTGACTCTGTACAGGGTTTCCGAGGCTGTAAATCTTTACGGGAGCAGAACGCCTTTTCTTTCTCCCGTGGAACATCTGGTAGTTTCTAACTGCTGACCTTCCGGTTCGCAGCCCAATACATAACCACTACGCTACCACATAAAACACCCTTAATGTCAAATAACTAGGCTAACTGGGAGATTGTTGTTGTTGAGTTGGTTCCTACTCATAATGACCCTGAATAGGATTTCATAGCTAAATGATAAAAAGTTATAGTAAAAGCATGTCATGGAACTTTTTCTCACAATACAAGAGATTAACATTAAAGAACAGAAATTTGCAACGTTTCATGAATTTTAATTTAAAAATGTTTTATCATTAAAAAACACTTTCCAGTTTGGTTTTCACTTTTAAATATGTCCTGGCTTTGAAGAAAGAGTTCTGAAATAATATCCACCCCAATGATTGCCTGAATTCAAATTCCACATAATTAGAATCCAAAAAAATTAACATTTAAAATATTTTCAGGCTTAATTGCAACATTTAACTTTTATAATGGATATGCTGTGTGTTTAACTTAAAATTTAAAATGCTTTATTTCTAGCTGAGAATTTCTCTGGACAGTTAATGGTGTTTATCATTGTGACCTGTTTTCTACAAATAAATGATGGGTGGAATATTTTCTCGATGGAGGGTAAGTTACTTTTCTTTATAACTAGTCCTTAAATCAAACATGAAAGTGTCACATAAAGCTATTTGTAAAAGTCTCCTCTGTGGTGTAGACTATTATCCCCAACTCTATTTTTTCTTTCTTTGATTCTTTTCTGAATTAGTTTTTAATTTGGGTTTCATTTTTAATAATTTTACTTGTTATGTAGATGTATAATTTTTTCATTTATGAATTATTTCTCTTTCAATATATATTCATGTGCAAATAGTTATTTCTTGTTTTCTTTTTATACTACCTTTTATTTGAAAGATGTTTGATACTAAGTATTCTATATAGTACTTAATGTTTTTACAGACTTATCTTTTGACTTGAAGCTTGTTACAAATATTTGACTGAAATCAAGAACTATGCTTTTAGGAAATTACAGGGTAGACAGTTTTATATCACACATCAAAATTAGAAATGTGTTTTGATTTTATTGGATAAACTTTTAGGGGAAATGTCTGAAATTTAAAGTCAGAAAATATATTGATAAATTCTTTTTTGCTGTAGGAGAAGATACTGTAATCGCAGACAAACTATTTCTTGGCTCCCTATTATTATAAGAATGGACTTTAGTAATATTTGCTATAAAATTTAGTTTTTGGACTGTGACTGAACTACTTTATTTTGGATTATTATTATATTTATACCTCCTCCCTCATAAAACAAAAATAAAACCTTTTGCCTTCTGCCCGAGAATCAGGATCATATTAAATTATTCTTCATCTTTCTTATTAGGTTAATCCGTACGAAATTGCTAATATTCAACCACTTAGACTTATGCAAGTGTCTATTTCATATGGTTTAACCTGATGTGTACTGTAACTACAGTGAATTGGTATTTATTGCCTACTTTGGTAAATATTTTCTCAAGCGTGCATGAGTCATTTTGCCTGGTTTTTATACTGGGTGGCATACAACACATTCCTGTTTCAACAAGCTCTGTTATAATGAAATATTCATATATGTCCTTTTAAAAGCTAGTCTTCAGGAAAAGTACTTTAGGAATGCAGCATAAAGATACTAATTTTAACTTTCAGAGGTCTAGGTGGACTTCTAGCAATAGTAAAACAGGCCGTCTTTAGTCTGAATCTTTACATATGTGAATTCTTTTGAATTATCATATATCTAAAAAAGAATTATCAGAGGAAAATTAACTTCTCTATAAAAAGTGTGCTCTGTTGTAATAAAGAATGATAAAACAATGAACTATCAGAGTTGAATGTCTTTCTAGGGCTAAAAATAAGTTAAATAAAATACTTATATCTTTAATAGTTCTGTTTATAATTATTTTAATTTAAAACTAACTTCTAAATTATAAATGAATATTAATGCACATTACTTGATAACATTAGAAAAAAGTCTTATTTTCCTCTATGATTATGTAAAGTGTTACTTGAACATGAAAGTATGTTTACCATGGCAGATTATAATGCTCTCTTATTTCTATTTCTATAACAGACAAAACCTTCAACTGTAGAAGTTTTGGAAAATATAGATAAGGTATGTTCTTTGGCTATGAGATATTTAAATTCATTTTAGGTATTAAGTATTATCTTAGTGTATATTATTTTGAAGACTAGATTTGATCTGGGAATTTATAGATTATATAGAGTAAGACTCCTGGTGTGGCACCATAGGATTAGCACTGGACTGTAAACCACAAGGTCGGCAGTTCAAGCCCACCAACTACTCCTTGGAAACCCTATACAGGGCTGCTGTGAGTCAGAATGCACTCGACAGCACTTAGCAACCACAACAATAGAGTAAGACTAGGAACCTTAATGCAATGCATGACGTAAAATAATTCTAAAATGTGACAGTGACTTAAGATCATGTGCCAAGTAATAGTCTCATAGAATGAAGTTAAAGCTACAAAATGGTATAAATTATTGTTACAGATAAGATTAAATAGGTTATGAGATAGTCTGCAACGGTTTTTATCAGTCCACACAATTTTCATGGCTTTTCTATTGCCTATCACTGATACAGTGGCTGCCACAACGGCTCCAGCCTAACGACTGAGATGACGCAGGACTGTTGTCCACAGGGTTGCTATGAGTATGGGTAGGAGCGTCCTTAACAAGAGCATTATTACAAAACGGACTGCTGGTGGTGTGCTGTGGAGTCGGCTCCGACTCACAGTGACCCCGTACAGGGTTTCTGAGGCTGGAAATCTTTACGGGAGTAGAAAGCCTCATCTTTCTGCCCTGGAACAGCTGGTAGTTTAGAACTGCTGACCTTGAGGTTAGCAGCCCAATTCGTAACCGCTACGCTACCAGAACCCGAGGCAATATTGAGAACAATGAAAGAAACGGAAACAATCTCTATAGATCACTTTTAATTTTTATTCACTCATTTTTACAACCAGATTTTTGTTTAGACATTACACAGGAAAAATAAATTTTTGTTTGACTCAAAAAACATTATTTATTGATGTCAATCTCGTTTCTTTAATCTTTGTGTTTGATAGTTTGAATGTGGTATCTTAATTTTGCATTTGAAATAAATGACTTGTCAGATAGGTATTTCGTATTTTTTACCTTAATTTTTAGTGTGTAGTGGAGGGGGGATGAAGCAATTTAATTTTCAGTCAGAGTTCGCCCTATCAGTGTTGCAAAGTTGCCGAGGACCTGCCTTGACATAGGAATTTGGTTCACGAGGTGGGGATATCTGGCGGCGATAAAGATATGGAAAGACACACAGGACACAAAGAGAGAGACAAAGAGACACCCCGAAACCAGAGTGGATGCGGGACTGGCATCAGGCAGATCCCACATTGCAAACATCTCAGCCATGAAGGCCGTAATATCCTGCATAGTAAACATCTTGGCTAAACAGGCAGTATGGTTGCAATGCTGGACTGAGCCCCCTGCATGCTGTAACGCAGGCCTTGCCAGTCGTAATGCACTTGGATTCGATCTGCGCCTCCGTTTTATTTAGGGGAGGAACTATACACAAAGCTGGGTGGGACTAAGACAAGGTACAGCTAACATACGTAATTTTCCAGACATTCCGGCAACTTTACATTGTACTTCGCAGGTTCGAATCTCAGGACCACAACTTGGTTTCTCAAGCTTAATTAACATACCTTTTAGCACCTAGCCTCAAATGGGGGAAGGAAAAGGAGGATTGGGGGATTCCCATTGTGTTGGCTTCCTGAGCCAGGTTTTCAGGAGCCTAGGTGAATGGGCTGCACCTGGAAACACTTTTAGGGAGGGCAGTCCTATTGTCCTTAGAACAAAGACTCGGGAAGCCACCCAATTTACTTTGACTGAATTCTTTGAGGGAAGAAATTTGCCTTTTTGGAATTTTACAGTCTTGGCTTTTAGGAAAATATTACATTTATCTGTGGATATCAGGGCTTCATGTATGCAATTAATAATAAATATAACTGAACACTAAGATGAAAAACAGTTTGCTATGTCTGCTAGGTGGCTAGAGTCTGTTTCTCAGAGCCTGCGGTCTGTACGGTCTGCAATACTTGGGACCACAGGGCCTCGAACTCCTGACCGGGTCTGCACGGTGTGCAACACAAAGTGAACCAGACAGTCACTGTGCTAGTAGATTAGAGACAGGAACACCCTCTCAGGCTGTAGGTGGAGGCTCATCTTGGTTTAAGACGTTAACATATTTTTTCATTGAATTTTGAGAAATCTTTTTATATGACTTATCTGAGATGTAAATTTTTTTGTTACCATTTTGATTTCTTTAGAAAGTTTGAAATTTAGTAATATAAAATAATTTTCTCTTAACAGGAAATTCAAGCTTTGGAAGAATTTAGTGAAAAAAATCAGAGATTACAAAAATTATGGGTCGGAAGATTAATTCTCTATTCCTCAGTTCTCTACCTGTTTACATGCTTAATTGTATACTTGTGGTATCTTCCCGATGAATTTACAGCAAGACTTACCATGACACTACCATTTTTTGCTTTTCCACTAATGTAAGTAAATTTTTCTTGTTGACCTTCCTCCTTTCTGACCAGATAGTTTTAGTATATTCAGTCTCTTTAGTTTGAAATCATAAGGCCTTAGAAGACTGAATAAATTTGGATTTTTTTTGTTTGCTGTTTGAAAATATTTTTCAAAAAGTATAACAACAACAACAACAATAACAGTTGTATTAAGCCTTTACATATAACCCCGGATGTCTAAGGGATATGACCACTGGCATTAGTAATAATGGCTCTTCATAGCAATATTTTCTCAGATGACTATAAAACCCTACGGATATTGGGCATGGAGTAAGCATTTCAGATTGTGGGGAGTAGTAGTAAGTGGAGAAAGGTTTATAATAGCCAAATATATTTTGAATATATTCCATCATCCCACCTTTTCCTTTTTATTCATTGCTGTAGAACAATTAACTTTTGTTGTAGATATATTTATAATACAGCATTTTATAGAGGGTATATCTTGCTTGAGAATTGTTGGACACAATAGAATAAACTGTTTATTCAGTCAGTAGACATTTATGGGTATCACTTGTTCAGACTTTGGATTCTAATGGTGTATGATAAAGAAATACTCAGGATCTCTGACTAGCTATGACTCAAACTGCTAACTTTAAATTAAGTAATAAATATGATAAGTATTATGAAAGAGAAATGCAGAATGTTATGGGAGCATGTAATAGGGAGCCCTAATCCATCCTGGACTCCTGGTGTGGTGCTGTAAGATAAGAACTGGACTGTGAACCACAAGGTCGGCAGTTCAAACTTATCAACTGCTCCTTGGGAACCCTATACAGGATCCCTATGAGTTGGAACTGACTTGACGGCACTGAACAACAATCCAGTTTGGACTCCTGGTGTGGAGCTATAAGATAAGCAATGGACTGTAAACCACAAGGTTAGTGGTTCAAACCCACCAGCTGTTCCTCAGAAACCCTATACAGGGACACTGTAACTTGGAACCAACTCGATGTCACTTAACAACAACAATCTAGTTTGGGGTGGGTGTCAGTATTAATTTTATTGATGTCCAAAATTTAGTGCCTTAAAACAATACACATTGATTATGTCATAGTTTCATAAGTCAGAAGTCCAGGCAGCTCAATTGAGTTTTCTGCTTAGGGCCCCAGAAGGCCTAAACTAAGGTGTCTGTTGACCCTGGACTATTATCTGGAGTCTTGGGAGAAGAATCCATTTCCAGCTCATTTAGGTTGTTGACAGACTTCTGCATCTCTATAACTTTCTCTTTTGCCTTCAGCTAAAGAAAAGCTTTGCTTTTAAGGACTTAAGTGATTATATGATACCCTTCAGGATAAATTTGAGTATTAACCTTAATTACATCTGCAAATGCTCTTTGCAGCAGTACTTAGATTAATGTTTTATTGTATAGCCAAAGAATGGGAATCTCGGAGAGATATATTTAGAATTTTGCTTATCACAGCCTTCTTGAGAAAATGATGGTTAAGTTCAGACCTGAAGGATGAGTATGTTTGTGGAAGGTGATATGACGTGGTGAGTAGAGTGTTTTGGGCAGAAGGAATAACATATATGATGGTCTTGAGGAATGATTTTGAAGATGATGAATTTAAAGAATTAGAAGAAGGCCAGGGGCTGGATATTTAGTCAAGGAGCAGCTGGTGGTTTGAACCGATGACCTTGTGGTTTTCAGTCCAGTGCTGATCCTATACCAGGAGTCCCAACAAAACAACAACAACCTTATAGTCTATAGTAAGAATTGTAGGCTTTATGCTAAGAGTAGTGGGGAGTCATTGAAGTTTTTTTTTCAACTTTTTATAGTGAATTGAGTGAAAGTTTACAGAGCAGATAATCAATTTTACATTCACTAAATCATATACTTTGCTTTATTACATGATTGCAATCCGCTCCATGTACCAACAGTTAATAGCATTTACCTCTATTCACTTTAACTATTACATTCCTCTACCTTCATCTTTTTTCTGCTAACTTCCCTCTTGTTGTATATTGCCTGCCCTGTCACCCAAGTTAACAGTTGTCTACTCTCTAGCCCAAGGATCTCTGGTAGCGTAGTGGTTACAAGTCAGGCTGTGAACTACCAGCCACTCCGTGGGAGAAAGATGAGGCTTTCTGCTCCCCTAAAGATTTACAGACTCGAAACCCTGTACAGGGTCGCTATGAGTCGGAACCAACTCCACGGCACTCAACAACAACAACCCTCTAGCCCATAAATAATTCCCCTCCCACTGCATAACCATCGTAGGTTTTTTTAAATTAAGAAAACCATTTTTTAAAAAACTTTTATATTGATCTTATATAATACTTGTCTTTTTGTAATTTCACTCAGAATAATATCCTTTAGGTTCAACCATGTTGTGAAGTGTTTCACAGATTCATCATTATTCATCAACGTTTTGTAGTGTTCCATTGTGTGTATGTACCAAAGTTTGTTTAACCATTCTTCTGTTGATGGGCATTTAGGCTGTCTCCATCTTTTTTGATATGTTTCTTACAGATAGCACATTGAAATATTCTGTTTTCTTATCCATTCTGCTGTTTATGTCTCTTGACTTGTACATTTAATCCATTTACATTGTGTGTAATCATTAGGTCTGAATTGATTGCTGTCGTTTTGCTGTGTGTTTTTTTGTGGTGCTGCTGAATTTTTTGTTTCAAATAATTATCTATGCTCAGTTCATTTTGTTTGTGGGCTTTCCTGTCATTTTCATTTTGTTATGTTAATGTTTACTAAATCTTCCTGATTTTCCTCTTTTTAAATTTTGATGTGCAGGTGTATTATTTTTCTTTGACATTACCCTGTAATTTATTACTTTTTTCCCTATATAAAACAGTTTTACCTGAAATCTATCTGATTTCCATCCTATTTGGAAGAACTGTATTTACACTATTCCAACTTTTTGCTTTGTAGTGGACTTCATTTTCAGTCTTGTAGATTTGTTTTACTTTAAAGACTTCTGTATCTGGGTTGAGTTCTGGGAGGTGCTGTCATGAATGGCAATGTCAGGTTGTTACATGCTATTGTTGGTTCTTAGTCCAAAGAACACCTGTGATACATTGAATTTACTGGTTCTGGCTTTTCTAGCCAATGTCTTTTTTTTTTTTTTTAATGTTTTATTGTGAATTATGTGATAGTTACATGCGAGAACATTAGCTTTACATTCATCCTATCATATATTGTTTCATTGCCATGGTTACAATCCCCTCCATGCATCATCAGCCAACCACAGGGTATACCCTGCAAGCTGGCCCCCTGGTCATCAGCACACAGCCCCTCTCCCTCTCTGGGTCTAAAGTTCCCAGCCCCTCCATCTCTCCACGTCATCATCTCTCCTCCATCTCAGGCATCACTGTTTCTCTAGGTAGGGTCCCGCTCTCCGCTCTTCTCCCTTGATGGTCCCAGGGACCTCCGCTCCTAGACTGAAAAGTTAATCACTCTCCTCATTGCTATAAAACATCTATTTTTACATTTCCAACCCTTTATTGGTGGGTCGGGTCCCCTCAGGGACCCGACCGCTTTCCTTGATGTCTCCTGGGCAAGCAACTTGCTTTTTCTTGTAGTAATCTGTTGGTCTGCCTATATTATTTTGTATTTTTCCTGTTGGTCTTTCTTTCAAGAAGTATCTTCTGTTGTTCTCACCACCTTAGGCTGGTCTTCTTGTCCTTTCAAGTGGAAATTTCCCACCTCAGAAGATTATGGATATGTTTCAGGATTCCACCTATGGTCTTATATAATGCAGAGGCTCTGCAGGAAGCCTCCTTCACTGGGCACATTGTAGCCCCATTTTAGGTATTCCAATCAGTTATAGGCAGAAGATGGACTTACAAGCTTTTTATGGTGATATTTCTGGCTAGTCCTTTCTCTCCCCCTCAAGTGTCTATTTTATAATGGTATGCCAGAGAAACCAAGATTCAGAAGACAGCCAAGCATCTTAATATTATTTCCCACCTTTTCTCCATACCAACCATGTCTCAATCCCTGTATCCCAGATCCCTGTTGTTCCAAGGTTGTGCATACGTCATTATTTACCTCTGTCCCACTTAGCCCATGCAAACCTGCCTAATTTCTCTCCCATCTGCTTTGTCAGTGTCTTAATTCCCACCAAGTAATTGGGTCTGAACCATACAAATGAAGTATTGTTGTTGCTTTCAGGTGCCATCCAGTCGGTACCAACTCATAGTGACCCTTATGCACAACAGATTAAATTACTGCCTGGTCTTGGACCAATCTCAGAATCATTGCTATGTTTGAGCCCCTTGATGCGCCACTGTGCCAATCCATCTCTCTGGGGGGGTCTTCTTTTTTTCTCCAACCTTCCACTTTACCAAACATGATATCCTTCTCCAGTGACTGGTCCCCCCTTGACAATATGTCCAAAGTGTGAGAGACGAAGTCTGGCCATCCTGGCTTCTAAAGAGCACTCT